TTCCCTTCTCCTAAGTGACTTGTGTGTGTGTCACTGGCAATTTGGCAGGGAAGAGGATGTTGGACACGTTTGGAGGAATTCTAGCTAATCCTTCAAGCCCCAGCTCCAGCGGTGCCCCCTCTGAAAAGCCTACCCTGCCCCTCTGGCCTGAGGTCTTGCCTTGCAGATTGCTTTGTACCCGCTCATTAACTTGATCTGTAACTGTAACCCCGCCCCACTTGTGTCATTTGTTTGCACAGTGCCTGTCACACAATAACTGCTTAATAAGTATTTGTGGAATGAATGAAAGGATGTATAAATTTAACCATAGTCTTTGAAGAACTATGTAAACAGCACCACCTATTGGTAGATGATTTTAACAGTACAATTTAGATTCTGAAACATGATTTTGCCCTAGAAATTAGGCAACTTAAATTAAACATCATTTTTTATTTTCTTTTCACTGAAAAGATCATTTCATTCTTTAAGCCATGGAGTCATTTATCTTTTATTAAGCTTGAAACTAATAAGTGCTAATCTTTATGTTGGTTTGATTTTGAGGCTGTTCAGTGAAAGGCCTAAAAATACATGGTGATTCCTGTCAGTGAAATTAGGAGGAATAGGGAAGTAATACTATGTATCGGGCACTTTGTTACATGTTTCCTTTCATCTGCCAATCCCGTTCCCACAGTGGTTTTATTTCCACTTGGTAGATGAAGGAAACAGGTTTATGCAGGTAAAGCAACTTGTCCACCAGGAATGCAGACCGGCTGACTTCAAAATCTCTGCTCCTGCTGCAGCTGAAGCTGCAATTATGGGCTGGAAGCGTCTATAAAGCAGAAGTTTTTTTGTCCCCAGTAAAGTCTCCAGTAGCGTTTAAACATTTAGATGGCTCCTAAGTGGCCCTATTTCTAGTAAAAAGCTGCTACAGTCAATTTACATAAAGAATCACTATTTACATAGTAAAGTATTTTGACTTTCAGCAGAAATTTTCTTTCATCAAGTGAGATCCTTTTCCAAAGGAGACATGGTATGTGTGCCGAGAGCTGAAGTTTTTCTGGATGAATAAATTACAGAGAAACAGCATGTTTGACTTTGGAACATCCTCTCCTTGATCAGGCCTTACTAATCATATTCAAAAGCAGCTGCCTCTGCCCAACAGCACTGGGCCCCTCTCAGCCCTGCTCCAATCCTAGTGGCCCCAGGACCCCCGTTCCACGGGTCAGACCTGCAGCGCACAAACCTGGGTCACTGAGGCCCTTGCAGGAACTTGGGGTACAGATGACACATATGAAAGCCCTCAGCGTGGGTCCCACCGCAGAAGGCGGGCAGTGGCCCTCCCTGACTCCAGTCTGAACAGTCCTCCCCTGGACTCTGCTCCTACAGACACCCAGGCTGCAGGGCGGCCAGTGCGACGTTATCAGATGAAAAGAAAAGCAGCCACCACTCGACGGTGCCCCACCCAAGGCCCACAGTGGCTTCCAGAGGTTTGATACGTATGAGTAGGCGGCTGAAGCTGCTTTGTGGTGTGAGTGCACAGCTCAGGGTGGGAGTTCACAGGGAGGGCCACCTGTGTGGTTCTCTCCTGTGGCCTGCAGACCCAGCTGCGGTCTGGTGAGGGCTCCAGGCCACCTGCACCCTCCACGAGTCCCAGGTAATGTCTGTAGCTCCCGGGAGTCCTCAGCTAGTCTCCTGAACCACGTTCAGGGGAGAGTGCAGCCAGGCTCTTTCAGCAAATCTTACTCCCTTTAAGAACAGAACAGAGCAGTGAAACCGTACTGATGGCAGCACTGCTCATTTGGAGATCCTGGCCACTGCCTGATGTCAGAGTAGCCAAGAGACTAGGGCTTGCTCACCAGCGGGGGGCTCCTTCCTCTCTGCTGGCTGCACCTCTCTTGTGGGCTCGAGGGGAGGTGAGTGAAGTCACAGAGATGAACGAAGTCTCATTCTCATCATGAGGCTTATTCACCCTGCCCCGCGGGACCACGGCCTAGCTGTCCAGGGGGTGTTAAGTCACCCACTCAAGTCTTCCACTTAGCTCACTTAAGGAATGGGTAATCAGAGACAAATTACGTAACACCTTGAGAGGCGCTCACCTCTGTGCCAAGGGGATTTACAGCCCGAGCGTGTTTCCAGCTGTGCCGGGTTTGCAGGGCCCACTCTCAGCTATTGACGGTGAGTTCTGGAAAAGATGCTCTCAGTGAACCGCCCCAGTTAGCTGATTCTGACTGGAGGCCGCGGCATCTTTAATTCTGCATCATTGTCGTCATTACACATGGTGTGGGTTTGCCCTTCTCTCAGTGGTTAGGTAGATCCATTTGCATTCTTTAGGCTTGTATTTGTAAGACTTCGTGTGTGAGCAGAGTACCCAGGCACTGTCTTGTCATTTGGGAAAAATGGTGGTGCAGTGGCAGGGGTAAAGCAAATACGGTATTCTAGGGCAAATACGGTAATTTTTCTGTAAGATTTTCACTTTCTAAAATAATGAAACATAGCAATAGTGTATTTCCTAAGTACAGTATACCCAAAATGTGTTGCATAGTTCAGAGCAAGATTTAAAGAAATAAGAGCACTCCAGCACCGCCCGGCTCCTCACTGGCCATTTCGCTGGAGATCTTTCATTCTCCCTCTTCCATTACGTGCTTCAGCATCAAGGTCCATGGGCCTCCCTGTACTTGGAATTCAAACTCCCCTGCAGATTTATTTTTCTCAGAGGAACGTAACCCATCATTGCCTTTTCCTGACTCTAGGGAAGTCTCTGGATTGCTTCTTCCTGTATTCATGGCTTTTGCATCTTTCTGCTTCTGTGATCAGAGTCATGCTGGGAAAATGCTCTCCTGTCTTCTGGTTTCCCCCCTGGCTTCCCTGTCGCTGTTTCTGTACCTGCAGGTTTGCTTTGCAGTCCTCTGTGTCCTTACCCTGCCTGCGGATCTAATCACAAATAAAATTTTGAACTAAGACTTCTGCTTCTGCTTAGATGATCACAAAAGTGTCGCTCTGACTTTAACAGTGAGAACAAGCCAGGTAATCTACAAAATCGTAGCTATTTTAAGGCCACCAGGAGCCGAGGTCACAAAGTAGTATGATTAACTAACATCCCAAATGTGACAAGCCCCTCTTAGGAGCTTTGTGTTTGCAGAGCTGCAGGGAGAGAGGGAGTCTCCATGGATGGGAATAAAAAGAAAGCCGAGTTCACAGGATCATTAAGGTCTGAGTGTGGCCCAGCACTACCGTTTAGAACTCTTGGGAGCCCCAGGCCCAGGAGAAATCTATACATGCACACCCCTTTTCCACAGACCTTCAGTGTGCTCAGGACAAAGATGGGGGCAGGACAGGAGCCCAGGGGACCCCACCTCTGAGCACAGGCACGTCAGGCCTGCTGTTGTCTGAGGGCAGAGCAGGAACTCCGAGAAATTCTCCACCTGTAGGCCCTGCCCTCATGGCACCTACCTCTTTTTGGGGAAAAACAAACTGAAGTGCTATGGTTAATGCGTGCCCTGGAGAAAAGCAAAGGGGACGGGGCCTGGGGGTGTCGGGAGAAGGCCTGAGGGGTTGCAGGGTGGAGCATCAGAGAAGGCATCCTGAAAGTGGCTCTGAGCACAGAGCACACAGGGGCCAGGTGGCTGGCGGTGGAACTGGCATCCAGGAGGCGGAAGCCAGGATAGATGGCCGACACAGGAGCTCAAGGAGCATGTAAGGGACAGCAGGGATAGAGTGGCTCGACTCAGTAACCGAGGGGAAAGAAAAGGGACATGAGGGCAGAAAAATAAAGACATAGGGCCTGATAGGTCAGTGGAAGCCTTAAGCTGTCATTAGAAGATTGGGTCATGCTTTCACATTATTCTCAGTGACCAAAGGGTAGAGTTGAAACAATCTAAGCCTTTAATGGATCCAACTACTTAAAACACATTTAAGCAGAGTGTGAACCACCTCTAAAGCATCAGTGAAGAGTTCCCCCCTCCATACACCGCATAAAATTATCTGGAAATCAAGGATTAATAAGTCATATTGATTATACAATGGAGTTAAAAGTAATTTTTACCGGTGGTGTTTCTCAATGTATTTTAAGTTAAAAGGGAAAAAGAAAAGTAATATTAGGACTGAATCTGCTCAGGTAATGTTTTTAAAATATGTGCACACAGAAAAGCTGTGAGCTGCCACAGGCTCACTCTGGCGGGTGCCATTTATTTAGTCTGTCTTGGTCCATATCTTCCGGTGGGAGGCAGTGTGGGGAGGGGGTGTCCAGGGGGTGTGCATGGGCATTGGAGCCTCACAGACGGGTTCAAGTACTGGCTCTGTGTTTGAACAGGGCACACTTCCTGCCCTGCCTGGGAGTCGCCTTCCTGTCTGGCCAGGAGGTGGTAATCTCTCCCCACAGCTGGCTGTCATGGGAGTTGGCAGCCATGGCCTCCTGCACACGGAGCTTGTCCCGCAGGATGCTTGCCCTACGGGATGACCTCGGTCCTTCCGTGGCATGACCTTGAGTGATTCCTTTGGTTTCCCAGGTGCAGTCATGTGTGGTCTCGACACAACTGGAGTCCACAGCGGGCTCCCTACATCTCTGAAGAGGTGGCCCTTTGCACCCCTGAGATTCCTTATTCTGATTCCCTCTGTCCTCCTCACAGTAGTCTTTCCTGATAACAGCTGGGCTCCAGGCATCCTCGCCTAAAAGGCCCTGTGTCAGGAATTTGCTAGTTTTCAATAAGTTCTTCAGTCTGGGGAAGGCAAGCAACACTTTTTACACGAGACAGGCCTGTTCTCATCTTGCTTAACCTGACGCTTTCCTTCCCCAGGTGCTTAGGTGCTCTCATAGCTTGTGGCAAAGTTGGGGTCACTTCTCTTGCACCTGGATGTGGGCATGTTTGTGTACACATGTTCCCTGTGCAGTTAGGAGCTTTTTCCTGTGTACACGTACCATCCCTCAGTGTCAGGTGCCGAAGCACAGCAGCTCTGAGCGTGGAGTCTTGTGAGCGGGTTGCTCCCAAGCCTCCCTTTAAATACTCTTTATTTTCTCTCCCCAGCAAACCCAAGGAGCCCGTCTTCAGTGCAGGTAAGTCGCAGTTAATTTCTGCATGGGTGCCCGTCACTCACCCCCTCAGAACGTGAGGGGCAAATAAGTAGCTACTGCTTCAGGGCCAGCTACTGGCACACGGGCTGGGTGCTGCCAGCCCGTCCCTGGGGCTCTGGCATCTCAGGTCCTAGGAGACCACCCATAAAACTGTCATAAAGACTAAGCCATTCACTTACCCCCTTTAAAAGAGATTTAAGATAGCCAGTAAGGAGGAAGAGAGAAATGCCACCACGAATGCTGACGCGGAGTTTCCAGGCTCAGACTTCTGTCGCCTTGTCACTCCTTCCTTCCTCATGGGGCTCCCGACACCAACATTTCCATTCCTCCAAGAGGAATTAAGTTATAACTTTGTCTAAAAGTAGCTTTCTTTTTCTTTTTCTGCCTTTGATTTCCTAAACTGCAAACTAATAATTCATAGATACCTTTTTTATAACAAGTCTTATAAGGTAGATGCTATTTTGGGGATATTAACCTATTTAAAAGTGCATTTAAAATGCAGAGTAATTGACAAGTATGTAATTGGTTAAGTAAACTCACTTAATTTTAATTTTGTGAGTTGATTTTCCTGAAATTCAGAATTGAAACATAAATGTTGGAGTCTCAAATTCATCAGCATGTGCCTTAGTATCCATGTCCTTTCAGGAAGCATGAAATCACTCACTGAAAATGTGAGGGCCTCAGGGCTGCAGGCCTAGGTCTCGAGTGCCCTTAGCAGATCCCCAAAAGGTGGGCAGGTGTTCCTGCGGGGCAGGGCAGCGTGTGCGTCAGCAGGCGGGCGGCCGGCGCTCCTGCAGCACTCTTGCCTCTCCTTGTAGCCCTTCTGTCTCTGTCTCCGAAATCACAAGGGAAACGCCGGGTGACACACTGCAAAGGTAGGCGGCATTTCTGAGACCTCATAGCTCTCTGAGCAAAGCTGTTACCCAGCTACAGACACTTATTTCATACAGGCAAACAGACACTCTTCTTGTATGAAAATGTTTTTGTGACGTAAGCCACTTCGATTTGCTTTAAGGTAAAAGCATTCCTGAGCATTCACTTGGATGGATCTTAATAAGTAGATATAAACGGATCTTGATTGATCATCGGCTGATGACAGGAACTCTTGAAAGTCTGTACAAGCCTGAAGAGAGCTATAGGGCAAGCCCTGGGTGCCCCGCCGTTTGAAACGGTGTCCTGCACCTCTGCTGGCCTCTCTCTCTAGTGCCTTTGGGTTTGGTGAATGTGCTCTTGACCTAACATGCCTGAAAACACTGCTGCGCTTGCTGCACTGGGATTTTCAGTGTGGAACGTTTCAGTTAGCAGCACAGGACCGTGCCAAGGCTGCATCCATGCTTCCTTGCCTGGACCGGTAACTTAGAATTGTGTGACCAGTAAGCCTCAGTCTGTCGGGGAACTTCACCAGCACGTCACTACAATACACTCACGTAGATACTTCTTACGCATGATCACATAGCCATAAAGGGCTCTTTGTGCTGTGGAAATGGAATCGTGTTCTCTTTTTTTCTCAGTTTACATTCAGTGCTTCTCTTACGGAGAAAATGGATGGGATCCCTTTTCATTTAACTGCAAGCTGGGTCACGCCGTCCCCCCTTCCACAGCTGTCCTCTACTCTGTGTGTGAGGTCTTCAGCTGTGACAGCCACACAGTCGACAGCACAGATTTGGGAGAGAGATTAGGAAAGAGAAGGGGTCGTAGGCGAGGAGAAGAGAGTGGACAGATGTGTAGGTGGCTCAAAGGCACATCCAGCCAGAGAAGGAACCCCTCGTGGGGTGGTCGTGGCCAGGAAGGCCCCGTAAGGAAGGGCAGGCAGGCTAGTGAGACCTTCGGACCCTGCAGGTAAGAGAACTGGCACAGGAGCTCACATGGAGGAAGGACTCAGTGAAATACAATTTGGCCTTGATGGATTTGGTGGCAGAAGGTGAAATGAAATGACCCGGGAAGGGGGAGTAAGAGAGCCTGCGGTGATGGGGTCTAGCCCTGGCTGGTCCCGGTGGCGCTGGGACACGGAGCTCCGGAAGAAGTGGAGCTGGGACACGGAGCTACCCCTGATGGGGGTCCATAGGACGCAGTGGCTGACACGCTGTCTGAGGGCGTGTCGGTTCTTATTTAGAAGTCAAGCTCAATAGGCAGAGTGCCGAGTGTATCACAAGCATGCATTTAAGACCTGAAGTGCACGCACATGGTAACATAAAGCTGGGATAGCCTTTTTATTAATCTTTTGGCAATATCGCATGTGGCATTGTTTGAAAATCCTTAGGAATAAGACTTAGAGTCAATTTGTAAATGTGGTACTTATGATAATGTCACTGTTTCATGACTTTTCCTCACCAATTTCCTCTCTACTCATGATTTTTCTGTTGAGTAACTGCCCAATTTAAGTGCCATTGCGGCCTGGTCCTTTGATCTGCAGGGAAGGATCAGGATGCTGTGAGTCCTAATGGGAGCAGAACCCAGCAGGAACCCACATGACCTTTTATTTGGTCTTATTACATCCTAAAAAGTCTAGTCAGAAAACCCCAAGTTGTTTCTTTTTAAACGTCTGGGAGTTGCCCCAGGTCAATATATTACTGGGTTTAACTCTGTCCACATAATTTATTAAAACACTAGAAGTTATTTTATGATAAAAATGTTTGTTCTACACAGTTTTATTTTCCAGTCTCTCTCTCTAATGGTTCCTCTGTCCTTTCGTTTTCCATTTCTACCTTTTCCCTAGGATTTTCCTTTTTGCATGCATCCTAGCACGTCCATCTGCTCATTTTGTGTTCTTTACACTTGAAAGAATCATCCAGTGTGAAAGATACATAAAGATACACTTTTATGTTACAATATAACAAACTGATTTAAATATCGAAAGATATTTTTTGAATTTTGATATTGAAATTGTGTATACATTGAACTCAATAAAATATTTAAGTGAATTTCTCGTGTTGTAATTTTGGGGAGTGGCATTTTTCCCCCGTCCTGATGATAAAGGAAATAAATATAAGCACCAAAACCTCTCACGGAAAAATAATGAAACTAGTTTCTTTCCTGCCTTTTCCAATATCCCTATATATTTCATATACTTACAGGAGCAGAATATCAAAAGCAAGCAATGTGAAAAACTCCTGTTTTAAGCTGTTTATGTTTCAGTTATTTTTCCCTAGGACCTTAATTAGAAATGACAGAAAGGGTAGAGTTTCCCCCTTTTATGTCGAAAGGCCAGTGAAGAAGTACCGTGTGTTCGCAGGTACCCAGGATGCTGAGGCGCCTCCCTGACGTCTTTGCTCTTTTCGCAGAAGAAGGATATGTGAAGATGTTTCTTCGTGGACGCCCTGTCACCATGTACATGCCCAAAGATCAAGTGGATTCTTACAACTTAGAAGCGAAAGTAGAGCTACCAACCAAGAGACTTAAGCTGGAATGGGTGTATCCTTTATCCACTGATTAGGTTTATATGAAGTTATAAGTTGGTTAACATTTTTAGCTTGAAGTCTAATTATAGAAATTCATAAAACATAAGTTCTCTTAAGCTTTAAAAAAAGCCCCAAATGTTCTACTCTCACTTTTTAAAAAACAAACTCAACGAAAGGGCCACATGTTAGAGCCCCGTACAGTATCCTAGCAAAGGAGGAACCCCACGAGGGCTGCTGATTGTGGGGGGCCCTGACTTATTATTCCTGAATGAAATAGTCTTAGTTCTTGTTCAAATATACATTTTTTCCTGAAAAGAAAAGAAAATGTTATATGATTGGCTGAATGATTTTCTTTTTGGAAAATCATGGGAAAATGCATCACTAGTTTCTGGCCTGAGTTATAATCTTTCCGACAGAATAAACTTGTTAAAAACTTACAGAAAAGCAAGCTGATTGAATATAAGCACAAATGGGTAGAATTTAGGATTCAGATGAAATGGAAAGGGCTGATTATTTGTAACCGTAGCTATCACGTACTAAGCTCTTCAGAGCTGGATGGAGAAACCGGGAGCTGTACACATCTACCAGTAAATGGCAGTGAGAATGCAAGAAATTACTGAACGAATGAATGAGAAAATGAGGATGGCAGAAATTGAATCTGAACTATGCTAGCAGAAAGTTTTTAAACCCAAAGAAGGAAAGAGCAATGTCCTGAAAGGCGGGCCTGGCATTCCCCCTCCAACCAAGTAGGGCCTGGGCCAGCCTAACCTCAAGATTAACACTACCTGAAGGAGTCAGAGCAGAGTGCGAATACCCAGTACTCCATGAGGGGATTTCAATGAGCATAAGGAAAATCAACATGTAGAACAGATAAAACGCTGCTTGTGAGAAAGAAAAAGCCTCCCCCTTCCCCGCTACCCTCCCCCACCCAACCCCCAGGATCTAGGCCACAAAAGTCCCAGGCAGCCTCAGGACCTAGATTCTTGCAGTAAAGCAGCTGGGGCCTTCATCATAGAATTGGGAAAGTGAATGAGTTTCCAAGGAGAAAAACTGAAAGACAAGAAAGTAGAGCCTATGAAAAAGGGGAATTAAATGCTGGCTTTTATTAAATTTTTGCTCTTTTAATTTTACTGTATTTTACCTTATTTTATTTTGTTTTGTTTATTTTACCTTAGAGGAAGCCTGCAGAGGCTACCTGCAGGTTGATGCAGATGTAAAGACAAAAAAAACAAAATCTTTTTCTCACCCTCAAACAAATACATACTGACTACCAGCTTAGTGGCAAGCCCTGAACCTAAACTGTAAGAAATTGATTTAAATTGATGCTGTTGTGATTTCAGTTAGAAGAATTACTGTTTGAAACTGTGGAATCGTATTTTTTTGGAAATTTTTTAGAATTACAGTCTGTACCTAAATTTCTCCCCCAAAATTGAGTTTTTATTATTTTTTTGAGATTCAGATGTTGTCAGCATTTGCCTTCACCTGTTCTGGAATCTATTTTGGCACATGTAATTGAAGTGGTTCAGTTCTTAAATTAATAATTGCTTAAACTGGCTAAATCATGTCTTGAAAATTTTATTCAAAATACATTTGTTCAGCCCACTTCCTATGCAGATTTTAGAAAATGTAGAACAGTGGAATTTACTCTAAATAGGTGATATTTTTTGCCAGATTATTTTTCACATCCAAGTTCAAGTGATGTTCTGCTCTCAAAATCGTTTTCAAGGTGTGGAAGTATACATGCCAAAATCTTAACAGAGGTAGTTGAGAATGGTTGGGGCAAAGGGGACCTACATTTTTTACCTTTTATATATATGTATGTGTGCATATTGATTGCACGCTTTACAAGTACTTTCATAATGTAGAAAAAAAAAGTTTTTCAAATGTAAAAGATTTAGCTCAGTCCCCAGATTTCAATCTGGGAACCTCAGATCCCCAGATTGTAGATGTGAGTCTCAAGATGACGACACCATGGGATGTTGAAAGATGGCCAACTCACTGGCCCAGCTGCCCCTCCTAGTTCTAGTTTCCGGAGTCAAGCCTGCACCCTCAAGGGATCAGAGGCTCAAGAGGGAAAGTGAATATACTGTCGACTTTCATGATAGTGAAGTACATCTGAGCAAGTAGTGTGGGAACATCAGGTCAATGTCACTCAAGAAAAGCCACAGAAAGAAATGAGAAAAAAATTTGGAACAAAATAGTCCAGCATTTCAATGTAATATATATCAAAATATACAGCTTCAGGTGATTTTAATGCTAGAGTAAATAAGGATAGTACCTGTTAGAAGAATGTCTGAGCGATTTGCCTTCCAGAAGACCAGGTAGGCAAACTTTAAAAGGCAGAGCAGGTGTGCACAGGACTGGCATCCACGTAAAACTCCCGCAATTCCGCATAGATCTGGTCCTGCTGTTGGCTTCCCAGATTCGTGACTGATTGACTAAATGGAAGAGTTCACCTCCCTGTCACTTCACAGATGTCTGACCCCGTTACCTTAAGTAAATAAAATAATAAATTACCACTTTGATCAAGCTGAAAAATTCACCTTTCAAAATATAATATGTAGTTCCTAAAAATAAAGCTACATCTCTCTATTGTTAAAAATAATGTATTCACATTAATTCAATGCCCCCTTGCCAGCTTTGATGCGGCTTGTTGGGAGTCAGAGGTGTTTGGTAGGGAGTATTTGCAATCTGTTGTTATGTAAATTAGGGAAATTGATGGTGATCTTCATACCAAATTTTATTGCCTATTGCTGTTGAATAAAGCTGATGTTTTGTCAGCTCTTAAAGGGAAAAAGTTTTTATCTTGACGTACCCGAAGCTACGGGTACCGGGGCCGAGACTGCAGGAGTAACCTGTACTTGCTGCCCACGGGGGAGACGGTCTACTTCATCGCGTCGGTGGTGGTCCTGTACAACGTGGAGGAGCAGCTTCAGAGGCACTACACTGGCCACAACGATGACGTGAAGTGGTAAGTTCGCACACCTGTGACACCTGTCACACTTGTGGAAGAAGGACTAACAGAGACAGGGCAATGTTGGGACAGAACTAAAGAGGAGGAAAAGGATCTGGGAAAATAGGGTCTGTGGGCAAAGCTCTTTATGTCTGTGATCCACCAGCTGCCTGGCTTCCCTCACTGTGGTCTGGTTTTCTGTCCTTGAAACACATAAGCATGACCATGTCACCTAAACAAGTAGCTCCAATAGACTCCTGTTTGGAGGTCTTCTTGGATGGATACATCACCTGCTAATAATGGCTTCTAATTTGAGTCTTTATTTTTTAATAAAAATTGAAGTGTTTGGGTCTACAAAATTCACTCATTTTGAATTCATTCGTAATTTGTATATAGCTTTTGATAGAAAATTTTAGGTATTTTGGAAGGAGGGATGGATGAATAGATTGACTTATGTGTGTTTATCCTAGGTCTCAGTGAGTTATTAAAATCCTATTGGAAAAAGATGATGTCTTTGCTATTTGAAATACTTACTAAAGGTTGTTGTAGACCAATGAAGTGGTTCTCAGATTGAAATGATGTTTTCCAAGCAAAGGATGCTTTTCCCTTGGGTCTGAAAATTGTCTAGAGATAAAGGATGAAATGACGTAGACACTCATGGTCTAACATCTTTGGGTGCTCAGAGAATTTACTGTGAGTCTGTGAGAAGTTAGGCATTGTATGTTCCTAATGTTTAAGTTTCCATTAGTTATATTTGATCGAGGGAAAAGTAAAGAGTAGATGCTTTATAAATATCCTTTTTTTTAGCCTAGCAGTTCATCCTGATCGGATCACGATAGCAACAGGACAAGTCGCAGGCACATCCAAGGATGGAAAAGTGAGTTTTATTATCTCTTCCTATCTTTTTAATGAACTGGTAACAGCACATAATTTTGTGAAGACACTTTGCTGATTAATAAGCCCTCCAAGGTGTTGTTAAAGTATCTAAATACTTCATAATTCCTCACTAAGATTCTTACTGCAAATTAAAATTCTTAGTGACTGTAACAATCCTTTGAGCTCACCTTAATTTTGACCTGTTTTCAAATAGTATTGAGCCTGCCTAAGAACTCATTAATTTTTAGGGTACTTATTTACACCCAGCTGAACATTAAGATCTTAAGCACGCAGTTATTAAGTAAAGTTAAAATCATAGTGAATAATTGTTTGAATATGGGACATTTTGCTCCTTCGGTGAATTTCAGACACCCTCTGCCATGAATACCCTGTAACCACAACTCCACCCAGGGGTTTGCGTGAGTCCCAAAGCTGCCTGGAGAGTTTGGGCACAAGGTCTGTAAGCACTTCCGCCAGACTTTCATGGGAATCCAAGGAATCAGAGAGGGAACTGGTAGAATTAACAAATAGAGAACAATGCAAACCTGGCTTCCAGTTATTTATTTGCTACAGTCTGTGATCACTGTCCGGTCTTGAACAAAACACCCAAAAGCTTTTTTGATAACTACATTTTCTCTTTACAGTTTATTGCCCAATATAGGATCGCAACTCATACCATTAAATACTTTCAGTTTTATCAACATGTTTTCTTCCAGAAAACATGAATGCTACTGTTTTTCAGAAAATGGTTTAAGAACATCAAATTCTAAATATTAACTCTATGCTGTTTTCCAGTAAAATTCTACACTTGAAAAGAGGTTATAGGAACCATGGCAGTCAGACTGTTATGTAAATACAATAAACAGAACAGGGTTTTCATCCTTTATTTTTGTTTTAAGGTTATGTGACTGTCACAGTTCTCTCAATTTTAGTAGTAAACCATTTGTTCCTCCCTCTAGCGGATTGAAGATGTATTTCAGTTTTAGGCATTGAAGTTGAATCAGGACTTCAGAGCCAGTAAAACTGTGACAGCTCTCTGAGCCATTCCTTGCAACGTACATGGGGAGAAATCCACAGATTCCAAGTGTGCAGACAACTGGCTATTTGGAGACAAGGCCAAACTACAGCCTAGTGCACCTGCCCCACCCTGTCCACTAGGTGCAGTGCAGGTCCTTTTCTTAAAAAAACAAACCTGCTGGCTGTTCTGTGACGTTTTCTTCTATTGAAGGAGAGAAAATTAGTATAACTCACCTCGGAACACAACTGAGAGGATCTTGAAGTAATCATAGCAGTTCTAAATTTTATTTGTGCAATTCAATTGCTTATTTTGCTCCTATGAGGCCCAAGAACATTATGAACTCTTATTCTATTTGGTGGTGACTGTCTTCATGAATTTAGACACACTTCACCTTAGTGACAGTAGAAACTTTAAAAGAATAATGCTTATATGAGATTCCATTTTTCCTGTCATCTTTCAGTTTTAAAACTCAGATGCATCTAGATTCACAAATCAGGATCAGTTCCTGTCGCACAGTTATCAAGAATTGGCTATTCAAAATTTAGACCTCTCCTAAAGTTAAATTGGCCACTGGCCACTACCTCCTAAAGCCATTGGAAAGGTTTTATATATGTTAAATAGCAGAGTCCTTAAATGCAGAAAAAGACCTCTGTTTTGACAAAATTGAAGTTCTCTTGTAGCTTCAAGGTACAGATACATGCACAAAGCCGTCACAGTTGCTGATGCTGCATTTTCTTTCAAACAGCAGTTGCCCCCACATGTGCGCATCTGGGACTCTGTGACACTGAACACACTGCACGTCATCGGAGTTGGGTTTTTTGACAGAGCTGTTACCTGCATTGCATTTTCGAAATCTGTAAGTAGGAGCCCCCGGGGCCCTGGAGTCTGTTCATGGGGAGGAGAGCATCAGCTCAAGGCTGAACCGGGAGAGCGTTGACATGCAGTAATTGCCTGGGCGCAGGTGCAGATTTGAGCTTGGAAAAACCCTTTGGCTTCCCAGGTCCCCCCATTCAGAGGTCACGCACATGCCCTTGGGGTCCCACACATGATGAAAGAGACCCTGCAGTGACGCTGTCTTTGTGTTGCTTGAGGCAGTCTGGCCTGCTCTGGCCTTGAATTCCACCTGCCCCTTGGCAGGTGGCTCCAGTGTGTCTCTGCCATGTGTGACCCGGCTGCTTGTCCATGATCAGGAGTTGGATGGGCCTCAGGGGCTCCCAGCTTCTCAGGATGTGCCCGTGCAACAGAGCCACCCTCAGACCACTTTTACAGCCAGTTCAGAAACTTACATTCACATGTGTGCACGTGTTCACATCAAAATAGCACGTGCTCCCCACCCCAATGCTTTTGCTCCTTGGACACCTTACCGTTAATGACAGGCCTGTCTGGGTGTGCACAGGAGGCTGGTTTTGATGAAACTGGTGGGGAAGAGCCTCCCAGACACCCCACCCCTCCGTGCACCTGCTCTCCATGGCTGGTCTCAAAGCAGTGGGTAAATATTCCTTAACCAAAACGAAGGAGACTCTTTCTTAAAAGTAAAATTAATGTTCATTTTTAATCATGCTCAACCTATCTTATTCTCAAATGTAGTCTCCCTGTGCATACCTTTTCCTTCCAGAATGGGGGCAGCAGTCTCTGCGCAGTGGATGACTCCAACGACCACGTGCTGTCCGTGTGGGACTGGCAGAAGGAGGAAAGGCTGGCAGATGTCAAGGTCTCTCCAAGCCTGATGTTGGGCCGCTTAGCATTTCCCACTGGGAGCCTCCTCCGGCTGGCTCCCGGCCCCTCCCCTTCCTTTCTTCACTCTACTAATGCCAAGTGCCCCGTGTCCTTGCACTGCTGAGGCGTATAATACACGAGGCTGCTCACTGCCTAGGCTGGGAGGGGCCGGGAGGGCAGGCCAAGGGCCGAGGGGCATCAGCACAACCAGCAGGGGCCTTCCCAAAGCTGAGTGGGCCTGGGAACGGCGAGTGCGGACTGCTGCCAGATCCCGGCCCCTCCCCGGGACCCTTGCAGAGGGCTGCCCCTTGGGCTTCTCTTCAGCACCCCTGATACTGTCCTGCACGGTACATGAGCAAACTTCCCATAAGCCTTCTTGCTTTCCTCCTATTAAAATCTTGAATGGACCCTGTCTTTATAAAATCGACTTCAAGTTTCTCATTCTGGCATCCTTAACTTTAGATCACCTTCCTTACCTGACATTAGGATCGCGCCCCATCACCTTCCTTATCCAGCTTTCTCTCTTGCATGCCTGGGATGCAAACCCTATATTCTAATCTGACATGTTTCCAAATACTTGTTCGTGTGTTACAGCCCCGCCTTCTAATATTCTGGTCAAGTTTTGAAATTCTTCCCATGTTTGTTGCTAGGTTGTTAGTAATCAAAGGCAGGTCATCACCCAGGTTTAAGAACATATAATTGAATCACCAAGTAGATGGAACATCAAGGTCAGATCCATCCAGCTAGTACAGGTCCTAGAAACCAAGATGATGGGGTTGGAGGTGGCCAAAGAGCCACACGCTCAGCACTGGACCCCCAGCTTGGTCACTGCACCATGAGCAGAGTCCTAGGAATTAGACCAGGAGGGGTGCAGGGCGAACGGGGCAGCCAGAGTCGGCCAGGAGCAAAGGAGCTATGTAAAACCCAGGTTCCTGGACCTGTCCCAAAGATCACAGTCACTAGAGGGGGAGGAGGCCCCATATCTGTATTTTAACATAATTAGGTGATTCTGCTGTTCAGTCAGGTCTGGGAATCCTTGTTGGGAAGATGAGCAAATTGTTGCAGATCTTAAACCCCTGGCTGCCGTGACCCCTCCTCAGAGAAGGCATGTGGGCACCCTGCTGTGCGGTCCCGTGGGGGCCCCCCAGAGCCAAGGCCCCAAGGTCCCCGTCCTCAGGGCCCCAGTCTGGCGGGAGGCAGGCAGGGAGAGGTGAAGGCCCGCAGCAAACATAAGCTCAATGTTTATATGAGATAAATTAAATGGGGAAAAATCTGGAGGCTTTTCAGTGCTTAACTTGAATGAGTTAGTTATTTGTGGTTCATTTTATTTATTTCCTTAAGTGTCTTAAGAGATTTGAGACATTTGATTCTCCTGTTCTGCTCACAGTGTTCTAATGAAGCTGTATTTGCCACGGATTTCCACCCTATGGACACTAATATAATAGTCACCTGTGGAAAATCACATCTCTACTTTTGGACACTAGAAGGAAACTCCTTGATTAAGAAGCAAGGGTTATTCGAGGTAAAGTGAAAATTTCATATGTCTGTATTTTTCAGTGAGGGATACATGTGACCAGCTAGCTTTTAAGGGAACTTTGAGGCATCACAGTCTTAGAATTATTTTCAATTGGCAGATGTGGGGCTGCACCTGGGGAGTGTAGTGATATGGAACAGTCCTAGGGATCCCTAGCAGAGTGGGGGAGCCCCTTGTGTGTGTGGGGCACAGTGGAGATGCCAGGAAGGAAGAGCCATCAGCACAGGCAAGGCTGCCCAGTGCGGCCCCACCTGCGAGGGGTGGGTGCCAAGGGCAGGAGGCCTCGGAGCAGCACCGGGCCCTTGCAGAGGGCGATGGGCACTTGCCGGGCCTTTCCGCCTTGCCGTTCGGGGCCCTGTGAGAGCACCAGCACCGCTTCACAAGCGGGGCCTTTGCGGCTGCCATCCAAGGCTGTTGGAGGACCGCTTCTTTCTGGTGCAGGCCCTGCCCCTCAGCCGTGGTCATGACAACACAGCCGCCCTGCCACCCCACCAACACCCTCCTCTGCCAGACTGTCTGCAACTTTATAATTACCAGAAGTTTCTTTATTTTGGAGCAAATTATCTCGTGGCATACATTACATAATGGTAGATGGCAATGGAAGGCACATGGGGAGGTAGCAATGCTGACACTGCCCAGCCTGGGGTCACTGGGGTTCTAGAGGTCACATACATACACCTTAGAGGATCTCGTGACTAAATCTATGCATGTATTTCTTTACAACATTCTGCAGAAGCAAGAAAAGCCAAAGTTTGTCCTGTGTGTGACTTTTTCTGAAAATGGCGACACCATTACCGGAGATTCAAGTGGCAACATCTTGGTATGGGGAAAAGGTAACAAGTGGTTATTCCCGAAGCTGGCAGTACTTGGTAATGTTGTAACAGGTCAGATGTGACCTCCGTAAACATTGTCTGTCAATATAATTTACAGGATTACAGTGAAATTACAGTTATATAGCTACTGTATATAGCTATACAGTATATAGCTATACATATGTGTGTATAACTTGAAAACATAAAACCACAACAGAGGAAAACAGGAATGATAAGAGTCGTTGACTTACTATCATTCTAGAAGGCTCCCTGAGCCTCCGATACTCTGATGGAATTAATAGCTTTATTAGGAGATCGCTTAACAAATTACAATGATGAAGTTATCAATGACTATTTACTTAGGTATAAAATATTTAAATAACTATTCTGGCTCTCACAGCGTTTGGCAGACATTTCCTGAGTACTGAGTATGTGCAAGGCAGCGTGTTAGACACTGTAGCATACGAATGAGTCAGATCCGAACCCCCGCTGTCAGTGAGCAGTTTGCTAAGGAGGATTCAGTACTCAGCAATCATTCATTTGGTTAAGTTCAGTCTTAGTTTGGGTTGGAGGCGAAGGAAGAAACAGACCCATCAGTGTGATTTCAGACTAACAGGGTAACTTCTGTAGTGTCCCTACTACTCAGGGCTGCGTGCTTTATGTGTTGTTCCATTTCACCCTGAGAACCATCCTCGGGGGGTTACAGGGGCCCTAATACACAAAGGGGGAGGCTGGGATGTAGGGCAGTTACATCACTTGTCCAGAGATGCCCCAGCTCAGGGTGTAATGCCAGTCCCTGCTCTCAGCCCCGTGAACTGCCTCTGCGCGCACCACACGGCCCCGTGTGCGATCGCTTCCCTGACGTTCAAGCAGCCCACTGCGTGCTGGTCTGGTGCTTTGTGAGCGTCTAGAAATGGGATCCTTCATAGATTCACATGACAATGATGTTCTAACCAACAGAACCACATTTTAAAACAAAAAATGCTATGGACAGAGGTGAGCCTTCTGATACTGTACTGAGGATGGTCTTCTGGGTGTGTTTAGGTACGAATCGAATAAGCTATGCCATCCAAGGAGCCCATGAGGGTGGCATTTTTGCACTTTGTATGTTAAGGGATGGCACACTGGTATCAGGAGGAGGGAAGGACCGAAGGCTCATTTCTTGGAATGGAAACTATCAGAAACTTCACAAAACTGAGGTAAGACCACAAACAATGTGCCTGAAACTCCTTTTGAACCTTAAACTGTAATAACAACCAGTTTCCCGTTAGCTTGAGATCAATAGGTTACAGTTTTGGAATTTTTTTAGATAAAATATTATTAAATAGGACAGTTTAAGTGCAACTACTAAAATGGAATCAGCTTTAAAAATTTTAGGGCGTAACATTTCACATTAGAATATTTTCATACTAGAACCAATCTCAGTGTAACAAGGGAATATTATCCACATTTTGATTTGTCATTAAAATCTGTCTTCTTTTTTCACTTCAATTTCCAACGTGTTACTTTGGAGACATTATCACTTTGAGCTAGTATTTATTGATCATTTACTTTGTACATGGCTGAGTGCCAACACGTTCTTTGGACTCTAACTCCTTTTAGTGTCTGTTTCACCTCCTTATTACCTGGTTAGCAGCCTGAACAGCAGTAGGAACCAGGGGCAGGAAATGTAATATTCCTTCTCCATACTCACTGGATTTTTTCCCCCAGACCTCCGTGATTATGAGCAGACACATATCAAGATGAGCATCAATCTGAAGGTTGCTAATCTTCCCTAGCACAGAATGGACCCATTGTAGAGCATTTCCACCTTGCTGGCCTGATGTGCTTACCTTACATTATGCAACATGTTACACCAGAGAGCAGCATGGCACGGGGCTTTCGCGGGATGAGAATTTGGTTCTGTTGATTATTGTTCTTAACAAAGAAAGGCCTTCATTCGAGCTTTGGAAATCACTTCCCCTTGCACTGAGATTTTAATTGTGATAGCATTTTTAATAATAAGATTTGACCAGCATTTGACTGAACATGTATCCATGTTAAATTGTAGTGTCACCTAGTTTTATAGAAGAACGCTCACCATTTTTAAGTAGGTCTAATTCGTCTTTGTTACCATGGATTATCATCACCTTTTCCCAAATCTGTGCTAACAAACCACCCCGGAGGTAGGGATTTCATCTAAAAGCAGGTTGCTTCCTACTTTTCTAGAACTTTTCTAGGTGCCCAGAGTCCATCTGCCAGGGCCTAGCTGCAGTTTTTATTCACAAAATGCAGGAACCCCTGTTTATTTTATCATAGAAAAATTGTTCTTGGCTGACATGTTTTGAAATTCCTTTTCTTAACGTTTAGGTAATTCTGTATGGTTACCAACATGAACAGTGGATTTCAAATTGAAGTAGAGTGGAGTTGCCAAAGCATTTTATCGTTTTAAGTTTCAGTAAACTTGAGGAGCCCTTACTATGGCACGTTGTCGTCTGTACTTGCCAGGCTTACCTGCTGCTGCCAGCCCGAGTCGTAATAAGTGAAGGAGGATTTCTGATTCTTTAATCTTGTCAAGAAAAAATGCTTTGTTTCTTCATTGGTTTTTTTAACAACTTACTCTTGCTGATTCTTTTGAAGTAGACAAAATATTTCAGGTTTAGAAGTCAGGTTTTGGGGTCTGGCTCCCTCTCAGTCAGGTACTAGCTAATGTCTCCTCGGCGGGTGAGCGTGTGTGCGTGAAAGAGAGAAGTGAGCGGACCTAGCATCATGGTACACGGATGAGTATTTTGAATGATGGAGCTGTCAGTTTAATGGCATATTCAATGTTTTCTCTTCAACGCAGATTCCAGAACAGTTTGGTCCCATTCGGACAGTGGCCGAGGGGAAAGGCGATGTGGTTTTGATAGGCACGACCAGAAACTTCGTTCTGCAGGGCACGCTGTCTGGGGACTTTGTTCCCATTACTCAGGTACGTCCCTGCCCAGCAGGCCCACCAAATACTTGGAATAATGAAGCATTATGGAGGGGAGATGATTCCCATGTTCTATACTGACATAACCTTCCTCAGCTTCAGGGTTTCGTAGCTGTCACAGCATAAGTTGGGGAGAAGAGAAGCTGGTGAGAGCACGTTAGGAAGTGCACATTAAGCCACAGTGCATCACGTTTTCGGGGCTGACGGTGCTATTTCAGAGGGCCTCCGTTGTTCTCCACAGGGTCACACTGATGAACTCTGGGGACTGGCCATCCATGCCTCGAAACCTCAGTTCTTGACCTGTGGGCATGACCGACATGCCACTCTCTGGGATGCTGTTGGTCACCGGCCCGTCTGGGACAAAATAATAGAGGTAGACATGCATGTTACATCCCGTTCTTCTTATAAAAATTCATCTGCAACATGTTCATTTTTTTCTGCATGAAATTAATAGTGATATAAAATTGTCCCAGAGCAAGTGTCACTTAATTTATCTCCCTCAAGTAACATTGCCTTATCCATGAAACCCTGATGTTTCCTGTTGAATTTTTCAATAGCAAGTAAGCCTTTCCCAGTTGGTCGTTGGGTTTCCCAAGTGCAGTCTCTTTGGCTTACGTGCTGAACACCCTGTTTTGAGCCTACAGTCTATGTACAATGTACCTTTTGAATGAGAATTTTCAAGCTATCCTAAACGTATACAGTTCATCTGTTCAGTTTGAGTTTGGTGATAGAAGTAAAGCTTCAGGTGTGAAGGCATCATCTCTGTGATCCTTGCAGAAGCTGCTCAGACTGACTATCAGAGTGCTGAAATACCCTCCCCTCCATGTCACATGGCTGTGACTGCGTCTGTTGAGCACTGCTTGCATACCAAGCACTGGGTGTGTGCTACCCTGAATCCTGGCAGCAGCCCTGCACATTGAAGTTTTTCCTCCCTGATGTTATTGGTCAGGAAACTGAGGCTTAGAAAAGTCAGATAGTCACGTGTCTTGTCGAAGCCACTGAGTCAGTGAGTGACAGACAGTGTTGACACCCAGCCCACAGTCCCCCAGCAGGTCCAAAGCACAGCTTGTGTAGCTTGTGCCACTAATGATGCACAGGGTCCCTTGGGAGGGGCAACCACTCTCCGGACCCCTGTAGAGTCCCAGCATTTCCCAGCATCTGAATCCATGTTTCAGCCCTCCTGCCCTGTCTTTTCCGAGGTCACTGAGAGTCTTGAGCTGGCTGGTCACTGGTAGAGGTGAGCACAGAGATGACAGGGCCTGAGGGGTGACACACTCAGAGGAAAGAGTGGGTGTAGCCCCAGGTGGCAAAATGGGGCTGAAGGAAGTGGGTCCCATTTACACCCATCCCCTGGCCGTGGCTTGGGGGAACAGACAGGGACCGTCTGAGGGTTCTGCACAGAGGTGAGGATGGCCACTGGATGCAGCAGGGGCAGTGGTGGCCCAGAGGGTGGCCTTCCCTGTGGTCTGGAAGCCAGTGACTCTCTCCCCGTCGCCTTCACCACACTGTGAACCCATCAGCCTGCCATTAGGGTAAGATATAGAGGTGGATACCAGGGAGGTCTGCAGTGGAGTCCTCACTCCTTTGGCCCCGGGCATGTAGCTCTGGGATGGGAACCTCCCTGTACCCCAGTGTCTTCATCTCAGAACGTTAGGAGCCTAGACGGATTATGAGTACACCTCTGAGTGGATGTCACTTCAGTCTGTGTGGCAGCAGCAGCCCTGAGTTTAATTCCACCTCCCACTTTGGAAGAAGCATTGCGATAATGTAATCAGTACCTGAAAAGTTTGGGTCCCTTATTTTTTTAGTTCATCCAATATTATCTCAGTGCCACTTCTTTTCTGTGGCTCCTTTTTTCTTGGTCTCCCTGTGATTAATCTCTCCTCACTTCAGTTCATCCTAAGCACTCCTACCAAGTGATCCTTTACCTAAAACACAAATTGAATCATGTCACTTTTTTTTATTGAAGAAACACACTCACTTTCACTGTGTTCTTACTTCCTAGGGGTCACAGTCCTCAACACAGTCGTGCAGCCCCTGTGATGGTGTCAGCATACTTCCCGCTTCCCCACCCGTGCATTCTGCCTCGTAGACCCACGGACACTACCTGCCATTCCTCAAATATGCTCCAACTACCTTGTTTCCACTTTGATCAGATCATTGTCCCATTAACACCTGATCCAAGAAAATATTGAGGGGTCCACTGATCCCTCAGCACGATGGTTCTTCCTGTCCTGGAAGTCAAAGGCTGTCTGGGCCACCCTTTTATTGATCACGTTCCATCTTGTATCAGTTAGTAACGAGCACATGTGTGCCACTAGATCAAAACCTGGAAGGGGCCTCACTCACCTCCAGACCCTTCTAGGGCTGCCTAGTGCCCTGCACCCAGGAGGCACTCATGCAGCATCACTCATGGAGGTGGGGCAGTCATCCTAACCCCAGACAGGTCAAGCACACCACCTGACAGGCTTACCATGCATGGGGTCAACCACAGGGCTTCCGAGACTTGGAGGCAGAGCGCCGACCTGTTGGTCTGTTTCCGATCACTATAGATACGAAAGGATATAAGACAGAAATCAAAAAAGTCTTAAAGGATTAGAAATTCAGTGTCATTGAAACTTGACCTTCTTCCAAGTAGGAAAACATTTTTGTCTCTGGAGAGAAAGGGGATTTTTAAATAGGTCTGTGTAGCCCTAGGGATTAGAGCTGTGTTCGTGTGTGTTTTATAAAACAGTGCTATGTCTGGCCATCAATTTACACTTCCTTTAAAATATTTTAGGATCCAGCTCAGTCTTCTGGTTTTCATCCTTCAGGGTCTGTGGTTGCAGTTGGAACACTGACTGGGAGGTACGTCCATTTCAGCGTGGCTTATGTGCTCAGAGGTCATGGAAAAGAGGCTTGTTGTCTGTATTTCCCCAGGGTCGGTGCTGGATAGCCCTTGGCTGCCTTCTCTCAACTTCTAATGACTTACCAAGAAGTCAGTCAGAAGAACCCCAAAGTAACCCACTGGACAGTGGTCCTCCACACAGTGGGCCTTGGGAAAGCCTGAGGAAAGCTGGCGACCCTTCTCCTGGGAAAGCACCCCCGACACACACACAGAGAGATACACACGCATGCACACACATAGAGACATGCACAGAGGCGAGGATGGCCACTGGATGCAGCAGGGGCAGTGGTGGCCCAGAGGGCGGCCTTCCCTGTGGTCTGGAAGCCAGTGACTCTCCCCATCTCCTTCTCCTTCTCCACACTGTGAATCCAGCCACACTGCACTGGTGGAGAAGGAGACAATTAGGGAGTGTCTCCTGCAGTTGCCTGGCAGGCAATTTTGGTGGTTATTGTCACTGTTTTAATTGCGTTTTTATATTTTTTTGTCATAGTGTGAACACTTATGGTTTAACTCAGATATTTTTGGTGGTTTCCTCCCATCCTTCCTTTCTAAAAAGCATACTGCTTAGACTCTGTCGTTATGACCGTAGAGAATGTATAGTCAGAGTGACCGTTTGTAAGTCACAGGTAGCAGTACCTTAAGAGTTGGGCACTTTGTCCAACAAAATTCTTCATGAAAATCTTTGTGTACCCACACACACAGACCACACACAAACATACACACCTTTCCTTTAACTCTCCTGGAGGCAGCAGCTAAAGCTTTGAAGTCAGCGGGCCCTGATGAGTGGCTGACAGCCAGGAATTGCCATCATCTGCAGCTGCCTATGTATGCATGGTAGGATAGGGTGTGGTGAGCTAGCAGGATGCTCAGGACCATGGACAGTGTCCCATGGGCGGAGGAGACTGAACATGTGACCTAGTCCTCTGCCACTTACACCACCCACATCTCTGGTGCTGGTGTCAGGCTCAGCCTCACTGGGACAATAGCAGGACTTCAGAGACATAGCCTGGTCAGCTCTGGTATCTCTGCTGCTTATGTTCTGACCTGTATTAAGGTAGAATAGCACATCAAAGGTAACTGCAAGGAATCAAACCAGAGAAGCCAGATCCCAGTTCCAGGGGTCAGCCAGTCCCACTGAGTGCTGATGGTTAGGTCCCCGGATGGGAGGCCAGAAGACACAGACGTTGTTCATAAGGCATGCAAAGGAATGTCCGCCGTCTAGGGCTGAAACTGTTGCATCAGAGAGCCCACATTCCCGTCCACCCTAAAAACACTGGAGTCCAGTGCCTGCTACTGCCCAAGAACGTACAGGCAGGGGAGTGCGGTCATTCTGTCATTTAATATCTGCCAAGCACCATGTCCTTACTGAAGGGTTCAGAGCTTCCATGTCCTCGTTAACTGACTGATCTAACGAGGGCCCTTAGCCCCATTTTACAATTGAGGAAACTGAGCCCAGAGCAGCTAAACTCAAAGACCAGTCCTCCACCCACCCTCTTCCATTCCCTCTCCTTTTTTAAACCACCCAGCCAGTTGGACACCTGCATTCACAGTCACATCTCCCAAGACTGTCCCAGCGCCATCTTCCTGGCTCCATCCTGCTTGGCCCCAGCCAGGGTGTCTGGTAAACTCACACAGGGGGTCCCTCTGCTGCCACTCGGGCTGTGGGCCAGCATTACGTGTCAGTCCGTATGTCCTGTCCAGGACTTTCTCCCCTTTCATGCTGAGTGACAAAGAGGAAGCCCTGAGGAACCTGGCTGTCACAGCATCCGGAGCTGAATTCTTTCAGATGGCAGTCAGCATGGCACTCCTGTCTTTAGAGAGTGCTCACATGTAGGGCAGCCTCTCTAAACAAGCTGGAACAAGCATTCTTAGTTGGCAAATGCAGAGGAAGCCCCTAGATTAATCGTTTTTAATAACCTTACTATTACTGTAATAGTCTTAGTTCATTTTCTCACTAAACAACTTACTGTACTTTTTCTCATGTTTACAACAGGTGGTTTGTGTTTGACACAGAAACGAAAGACTTGGTCACTGTTCACACAGATGGCAACGAGCAGCTCTCTGTAATGCGTTACTCACCAGGTCAGAATACACCCCATTCACTATACAATTCCAACTGATCTGTGAAGTTCTGTGCAAATGTTTTTAAAGAAAAACTTCACAAGCCTCTGCAAAGTGAAATTTAAACCACACACTCACACAACTGTGGCATGTAGGGGTTCTCTCCCATTCTTCGGGTCATTATGCTCATGTGTTTATTTAACTTTTCACAAACTATTATTTGTGCTTTTTAACAAATTATTATTATTATTTCATTGTGTTTATTAGCTTTTTATTTTTAACTTTTCATGTATGGAAAGTTCAAATATGGACAAAAAAGACAGAATAGCATAATGCCACCCCCATGTGTCCATCACCCAGCTACAAAACTTAATTAACTCTTAGCCAACCCTGCACGTCTGTTGTCTCACCTGCCGCCCCCTCCCATGTCACTTTGAAGCAGTTCCCAGGCTCTCATCCTTTCATCTGGTAACACTGCTCTAAGTATCTCAAAAAGGTGAGGACTCTTATTTAACAGCTTTTTTGAGACGTAACTTAAGCTAATTCAGCCATTGTAACTGTACTGCTCAGCGATCCTTAGAGTTTTCTTGTGTAGATGTTCAAAATCATGGAGTTTTACAAGTCTCACCGTAATCTAACCTGAGAACCTCGCCATCACCCCAAAGAGTTCTTTCCCTGCCCATTAGCAGTGAATTTCCCATCCACCCCCAGCCCTAAGTTACCCCCGATCTACTGCTCTGTTCTGTGAATTGCCTTTTCTCCATATCAACGGAATCTTATAATACATAGCCTGTTGTGTCAGGCTTCTTTTACTTAGAATAATATTTTTGAGATCAATACGTGTTACTGTGCATGTATCGCTAGTTTATTCCTTTTCAGTTGCTACATAGTATTCCATCTTACAGATATACCACATTGCATTTATCCATTTATCAGTTTGATATTTGGATGGTTTCTGTTTGTTTGGGGTATCTCCTGCAGTTGCCTGGCAGGCAATTTTGGTGGTTATTGTCACTGTTTTAATTGCGTTTTTATATTTTTTTGTCATAGTGTGAACACTTATGGTTTAACTCAGATATTTTTGGTGGTTTCCTCCCATCCTTCCTCTCTAAAAAGCATACTGCTTAGACTCTGTCGTTATGACCGTAGAGAATGTATAGTCAGAGTGACCGTTTGTAAGTCACAGGTAGCAGTACCTTAAGAGTTGGGCACTTTGTCCAACAAAATTCTTCATGAAAATCTTTGTGTACCCACACACACAGACCACACACAAACATACACACCTTTCCTTTAACTCTCCTGGAGGCAGCAGCTAAAGCTTTGAAGTCAGCGGGCCCTGATGAGTGGCTGACAGCCAGGAATTGCCATCATCTGCAGCTGCCTATGTATGCATGGTAGGATAGGGTGTGGTGAGCTAGCAGGATGCTCAGGACCATGGACAGTGTCCCATGGGCGGAGGAGACTGAACATGTGACCTAGTCCTCTGCCACTTACACCACCCACATCTCTGGTGCTGGTGTCAGGCTCAGCCTCACTGGGACAATAGCAGGACTTCAGAGACATAGCCTGGTCAGCTCTGGTATCTCTGCTGCTTATGTTCTGACCTGTATTAAGGTAGAATAGCACATCAAAGGTAACTGCAAGGAATCAAACCAGAGAAGCCAGATCCCAGTTCCAGGGGTCAGCCAGTCCCACTGAGTGCTGATGGTTAGGTCCCCGAATGGGAGGCCAGAAGACACAGACGTTGCTCATAAGGCATGCAAAGGAATGTCCGCCGTCTAGGGCTGAAACTGTTGCATCAGAGAGCCCACATTCCCGTCCACCCTAAAAACACTGGAGTCCAGTGCCTGCTACTGCCCAAGAACGTACAGGCAGGGGAGTGCGGTCATTCTGTCATTTAATATCTGCCAAGCACCATGTCCTTACTGAAGGGTACAGAGCTTCCATGTCCTCGTTAACTGACTGATCTAACGAGGGCCCTTAGCCCCATTTTACAATTGAGGAAACTGAGCCCAGAGCAGCTAAACTCAAAGACCAGTCCTCCACCCACCCTCTTCCATTCCCTCTCCTTTTTTAAACCACCCAGCCAGTTGGACACCTGCATTCACAGTCACATCTCCCGAGACTGTCCCAGCGCCATCTTCCTGGCTCCATCCTGCTTGGCCCCAGCCAGGGTGTCTGGTAAACTCATACAGGGGGTCCCTCTGCTGCCACTCGGGCTGTGGGCCAGCATTACGTGTCAGTCCGTATGTCCTGTCCAGGACTTTCTCCCCTTTCATGCTGAGTGACAAAGAGGAAGCCCTGAGGAACCTGGCTGTCACAGCATCCGGAGCTGAATTCTTTCAGATGGCAGTCAGCATGGCACTCCTGTCTTTAGAGAGTGCTCACATGTAGGGCAGCCTCTCTAAACAAGCTGGAACAAGCATTCTTAGTTGGCAAATGCAGAGGAAGCCCCTAGATTAATCGTTTTTAATAACCTTACTATTACTGTAATAGTCTTAGTTCATTTTCTCACTAAACAACTTACTGTACTTTTTCTCATGTTTACAACAGGTGGTTTGTGTTTGACACAGAAACGAAAGACTTGGTCACTGTTCACACAGATGGCAACGAGCAGCTCTCTGTAATGCGTTACTCACCAGGTCAGAATACACCCCATTCACTATACAATTCCAACTGATCTGTGAAGTTCTGTGCAAATGTTTTTAAAGAAAAACTTCACAAGCCTCTGCAAAGTGAAATTTAAACCACACACTCACACAACTGTGGCATGTAGGGGTTCTCTCCCATTCTTTGGGTCATTATGCTCATGTGTTTATTTAACTTTTCACAAACTATTATTTGTGCTTTTAAACAAATTATTATTATTATTTCATTGTGTTTATTAGCTTTTTATTTTTAACTTTTCATGTATGGAAAGTTCAAATATGGACAAAACAGACAGAATAGCATAATGCCACCCCCATGTGTCCATCACCCAGCTACAAAACTTAATTAACTCTTAGCCAACCCTGCACGTCTGTTGTCTCACCTGCCGCCCCCTCCCATGTCACTTTGAAGCAGTTCCCAGGCTCTCATCCTTTCATCTGGTAACACTGCTCTAAGTATCTCAAAAAGGTGAGGACTCTTATTTAACAGCTTTTTTGAGACGTAACTTAAGCTAATTCAGCCATTGTAACTGTACTGCTCAGCGATCCTTAGAGTTTTCTTGTGTAGATGTTCAAAATCATGGAGTTTTACAAGTCTCACCGTAATCTAACCTGAGAACCTCGCCATCACCCCAAAGAGTTCTTTCCCTGCCCATTAGCAGTGAATTTCCCATCCACCCCCAGCCCTAAGTTACCCCCGATCTACTGCTCTGTTCTGTGAATTGCCTTTTCTCCATATCAACGGAATCTTATAATACATAGCCTGTTGTGTCAGGCTTCTTTTACTTAGAATAATATTTTTGAGATCAATATGTGTTACTGTGCATGTATCGCTAGTTTATTCCTTTTCAGTTGCTACATAGTATTCCATCTTACAGATATACCACATTGCATTTATCCATTTATCAGTTTGATATTTGGATGGTTTCTGTTTGTTTGGGGTTTTTTTGGCTATTATGAATAACACTGCTATGAACATTCATTATATGCCTTTTTGTAGACATTTATTTTCATTTCTCTTGGGTAAATTCCTAGAGTAGGATTGGTGGATTATATGGCAAATTTATGTTTAACATTTTTGGAACTGCCATACTGCTTTCCAAGGTGGCTGTACTGCTTTATATCCTGCTGGCAGTGTGTAAGGGTTCTAGCTTCCCTACATCCTCACCAGCACCTGTTATGTCTGTCTTTTTTATCATAGCCATTCTAATAGAGGTGTAGGCGTATCTCATGTGGTTTTAATTTGCATTTCCCCAATGACTATCAAAGATGCTGAACATTTTTTCATGTGCCTATCAATCATTCCTTTATCTTCTTTGATGAAATATCTATTCAAATATTTTGCCTATTTTTAATTGGGTTGTCTGTCTTACTGTTGAGTAATAAGAGCTCTTTCTGTATTTCATTGGTAAAAATTCTTTATCAGATAATATGTGATTTGCAAATATTTTCTCTCAGTGTATGGATTGTCTTTTCATTTGTTTAATGGTGTCTTTTGAAGCACAGGTTTTTACTTTTGATGAAGTCTTGTTTACCAATTTTTTCTTTCATAGATCATGCTTTTGGTGTCATACCCAAGGTCATGAAGATTTTCTCCTATGCTTTCTTTTAGAAAGGTTATTGTTCAAGCCTTTTCACTTAGATCTGTGATCTCTTTTGAGTTAATTATACTCAAAGCCTTTTCACTTAGATCTGTGATCTCTTTTGAGTTAATTATACTCAAAAGAGATCACAGATTTGTTCTACATACAGACATCCAGTTGTTCCAGCACCATTTTTTTTAAAGACAGTCTTTTTGCAATTGGATTATCTTGACACTTTTGTAAAAAATCAATTGACAATAAACATAAAGGTTTAATTCAGGATTCTCAGTTCTTTCCGTTCATCTATGTTTTTCCTTGTGCCAGTGCTACATGGTCTTGATTACTGTGAGTTTAGAGTAATTTTTGAAATTGAATAATATGTCTCTACCAGCTTTCTTGTTCTTTTTCAAAGTTGTTTTGGCTATTTTAGGTCTTTACCATTTTTATATGAATTTCAGAAACAGCTTGTCAATTTCTAATTTTAAAAAGCCTACCAGGTAAATACTGCTCATAAAAAAAAAAAAGCCTACCAGGATTTTGATTATGTTGAATTTGATTATGTTGAAATTATATGGGAAGACTTACCAGCTTAGCAATACTGAGTCTTTTGGTCCTTGAACATAGAATATCTGTCCATTTATTTACATGTTCTTTAATTTCCTTCATCAGTGTTTTATAGTTTTCAATGTACAAGTCTTACACTTCTTTTGTTAGGTTTATTCCTAAGTAAGTTTTTTTATGTTGTTCAGAATGTTGGTTGCTAATATACAGAAATAAAATTCATTATCTT